TTGAGTTATTTTATGGTTAATTTCATTAATTCATTGTTTGCTTAATCAGCAAATACATGTGTTAAAATATTTCTTAAAAATGAAATTGTAACTAAGATCAGCTTTCAGTGGAAAGAGTTCCACAGTTACCATTTTGGGTTTGGGGGAGTAGCTTTGACTTTGTTCTGTTTCTGTCAGAAATTGCAGTTATGCTAAACTGAATATCTGATAATCAAATTACAAAAGAACATTTTAGTACTTTGTTCTGATCAGTTCCTAAAATGTCATTAGACAAAACAGAGGACTAGAGATGGAAAAAGGAGCCCTGGTGGTATAGTGCCTAAGGCATTTGACTGCTAACCAGAAGGTTGACAGTTCAAACCCACCAGCCACTCTGTGGAAGGAAGACCAGACAAACCCAATGGGGGTCGCTATGAGTTGGAATCGTCTCAATAACAGTGGGTGGTTTTTTTTTTTTTTTTTTGAGATGAGGAAGGTGGTATGCAGAAAAGCCCACATTTAATTTATATGTTGCTAGAAGAAAACAGTTCCTAATGTATCCTGGGGTCATAGTTTCTGATAGGACTTTCATTATTCAGTAGGTCAAAGTCCTCAGGGCCCAAATTGTATTCTCTGATTGTAAAGAAAGCTTCCAGTACTATCAGGCCCTGATTGATAGGGTGATTTCTTGCCATGAAAGCTTTCAGGATACCACTGTCTTTGAACATTTCCTCCCAGAGGAATCTTGCTATGTTGGATGCAGAACTAATAACAAGTGCCCCACTGATGTGTACTTTAAATGGGGGTCTTGGGAGGAAGGTGGACTCCAGGGGCACTGGGAAGCCTTAGATGCTATGACTTGCTACTCCCACTCTGTATTATTATTTATCTCTTGCATTATTACTTAATTTCCTAATTCTCTAACTTTAAGTTAATGCTCTTTTTAAGCAGAAGCTACATCTTTAAACTTCCACCAGAGGAAATTCTAGAATTTATTCATTAAATGATAATTATGTTATAAAATGGGATCTATTTTTTAAAAAAAGAAAATTATTGCATTTATATCCATTACCTGAAACATAGTGCTTGTATTTTATTTCTTTTCTTTGATTTTTTGGGGATTCAATTTTTTTTTTTTTTAATTTCACCTAATTGAACTTCTTACATATCATTAACTGTAATCATGGTCTGTTTATTTTGGTTATGACAGCTTCTTGACCAGTCTTTAGGGAAAGGATTTTATCTCAGGTGGCAAAAACAAAAAAACAGAACAACAACAAAAAAAAATCCTGTAAGTCATTGATTAAGGTCAATGTTTAAGGATAAATTTTACTAACTATTAAAAAAAAAGCAAAAATCCAGCTCTAACCACATCTGAACTGGAGGGAGGCATTGGCTTATGTTTAGTCACATTTGGGAAACAGATGGTACAGCCATTCTGTGTTCAGACTGGTAATGCAAACTCTCATACATCAGCTATCAAAATAATAAAGTAAAATTTCATTGGGATCAGCTGCCAGTAGATGATGCTTTACAGTCTTTGATTTTTGGGAAAAAGAAAAGTTTGCTAAATGAGAATTAAAAAAAGATGTCATCTGGGAATAAATAATAGGATATTCTCATCAGGTTCAAGATACTTTTACTGTGACCACATTCATAAAGGTTATGAAAAGAAGCAACAACTTAATTTTTTATCAAGGGTTAGGATGGGTCCCTGCCACTCTGTTACAAGCTGTATACTGAAAATGTAATTGGTTTTAATTAATCATGCAGTAGTGCCAGAAAAGTGTTCATAGTATTACAAAGGGTGCTGGGCCTGCTTGAGACCCCGTTTGAACAACTTCCTGTCCACCCCCTCTTTTTCCATTTTTTCTTCTTTTTTGAAGTATAAAGCCAAGAAAAATGGAGAAAAGGTGAAAAGATGTTTTTCTTTTTGATCCAGCAACTGGCGCATAGAACTTTTAATTACACAGAAGAGATACTTCAACAAGATATTCTGTACTGAGACAGAATCATATTTTAACTTAATGAAAGAAAAGGAAAAAGCAAGATATTACTTTAACTGACTTCTAACGATTGGGTCATGTCTAAGCCAGGTATTTATAAGTGAATGAAATAAGAAAGACCTTCGGCCTCTGTCCTAAGGTGGGAAAAAAGTAGACTAATATTTCAGAAAGAAAGGCTAGTCATTCACCATTATCATTACTTGCCTTCTTTAGAGTAGATAAGGAGAACATTATGGGAATTCTAGTACTACTCAAGAGATTATCTCTATTTATATAAAATGAAATAGAGAATTAGAAGTTGACTTTGATCACTTACTATTTTAGAATTTGTGACTTCAGATCTATTTTCACACATAAGCTTAGTTTGTCTCCACCAGCTCTTCTGGTCTCCCCAGGTCAGGGCTTAGCTTCCAAAAGGTGCTCACCAAACTTATTCATTAGAAGTTAAAACACTTATTCATTTTAAATATTCTCTCTGAATGTAAATAAAATCTTGTTGAAAGAGGCTGCTGTTGTTAGAGTCAGTAAAAAGGGTTTAGTCCTCATTTTCTATCCAGGTAACTATGATCCCTTAAGTAAGACACTTGACCTCTCTGTGCCTCAGCTTTCTCACCTACCAAATAGACATAATGATATTTTAAAAGCACATTATAATGATTAATAGATGAGAGATTTCTTTGACAAGTTAAATATACTATTCAAGTTTGAGTTATTATCATTAATAACATAAACTTTGTGAAATATATAAGGAGTGCATTCTGCTTTCCAGGATGAAGGCATGAAGAGGTGGCTGGAATGAGCACTCATGTCCAGGGCTTCTCTGGTTTTCTTGAAAGCCTAAGTAGATCCTTTATGAAGGCATAAATTCACCATTAATAATCCAAGTTTGGACTGGTCCATTTCACCTGCAGTTTCTTTACTCTGTTGCTAAATAGCTCTGTATCATATCAAAAAGTTTGGCAATTTAAACTATACTACCTTGGCCATTGTAATGGTCCTGCCACTTGAGGGGATTCATATGCCTTTTGGGGCCTTTAATTTACCATGCTTAGAGCCCTTATAAGTGAGAGAAACTTGATCACCATGCTTTTTTTCATGACTCTCAAACTAATATTGTACTGAGTCACTGAAATATAGACTTCAGGATGGAAATGGATGAGACAACTAACTCGGATTCTGGGCAAGAGTGCCCTGTGTTCTGTGCCTTCAGTTCAGGGCTCCTGCTTTCAAAGGTCTGATCCATGAATCCTCATGGATGGATGCAAAGACAAAGTCATTCCAACACAGTCTGAATATGCATAGTGAATGCCTGGCATAGAATAAGTACTTACTACTTTTTAAAATGACATAACAAAGGATTCACGTAATAGTGTCTATTGAATACTGTCTTTATCCATAACTGAGAAAGATATATGAGAAATACATGACATGTTCCTGTACGAAATGGTATAATTTACTTACAAAGACAAGATGTGCACGTATGAAATGTTCTCTCATTACAGTGTGTTTTGATTTCCTAGCACTTCTCTGTCAAGAATATGTCACAAATGGGATGACTTTAACAGACAGGAGTTTACTCTTACAATTTTTGGAGGCTAGAAGTCCAAGTTCAATGTGCCAAGCTCTAGGGGCTGTGTGAAAGCCCCTTGACCTTGGGCTTTAACTCTGCTTCTTGCTCCTGAGTCACTGAAGCTAGAGGCATCTCTTTACTCAGGCAGCTACTGGCTGCTGAGGTTAACAAACACAAGGTCGATAAACAAAATGGCACAGTCCCACTGTTACCAAACAACATGGCAAGCCATTGATTCTAGTCCATTGAAAGTCCCCAGGTTGGCAGAGAAAGTCCCCAGGTTGGCAGAGCATGGCAGGCTGCTGAACAATGACATGCAGGTTTCAAGCATCCCATAAGCTAGAGACCAGTCCTAAAGCTGCCTCTTATATATGGGAAGCAGACCACATGCCTAAAACACCTACTCAGCTGCTTGTGGTAGATCCCACCATGGAGTTAATTGCCAGTCTCATCCTGAGGAATAACTACCACCAGCTTCCCAGCCACTCAACCAGGCCCAGCCAAGTTGACACACAACCTTAACTACCACACAGTGAAAGGTGTTAAAGTGATAGAATGAATAATACAAAGTACAAGGACTGTAAGAATTCAAAGTGGGAGATGAATGAAGTCTCAGGATGTGATACTTGAGGTGGGTTTGAAAAATCAATGGGCAATGAGAAGATGAAAAGAGTTGGCCTTTCAAGAAGTAGTAAAAGTGTGAGCAAATGTCTGGAAATGGAAATCAGTGTTTGCTTTATTCTTTACTTTTAGGAAATGGGAAGCCACTGGATGTTTGTATTAAAAGTGAAGCAAGATTATAACATATCTATTGTAACCTACAGAAATACTCATAAATAATACAAAGATGGATGCATAAAGATGTTTATAGTTTGACATAGCAAAAAAAATTAAAATGATTAAATTCTTTCTATAAGGGAATATTTTAAATATTTGATAATGGATTCACACCACGGAATGCTTGGTAGCAGTTGAAAAGAATTAAGGAAATCTCTGTATGCTGATGTGAAAAAACCACTATAGAAAGACATGGCAGTTTTTGAGTAGAGAGAATGCATCCATGTAATTTTTGTTAACTTTGAAAATTGATTTTAAAAAATCAAAGTGGTGTTTCAGGAAGATTAATGTTGTGACCTCATGTCAAAGAAAAAGAAAACAATTGAAAGGGATGAAGGATGCTGGAGACATGTGCATGCATACTGATGTAGGAGACCATGGATAGGGACACAAGTAGTAAAGAGAAAGAGAAGGGAAACCAGAAATATTCTAGAGAATGATTTGAAAGGGCTTCATGGTATATTCTTAAAATGGAAGAAAAAAGAGAAAGAAGAGAAAAGGGACTTCTGGGTTTAAGCTTGGCAAAGAAACACTGAAGAATTATGTTTGCTAATTGAATAAGCCCTAAAAGGGAACCTTAAAGAAAGTTTTCATTTTTTCCCCCTCAGGATGGAAGAAACAGTGCGAAATCTCTTGCAGAGTCAAGGACCTCCAGAGCAGAAAAAAGAAGAAACTGTTAATATAATGGTCTATCAGGTATAGCATGTTCCTTACTCTCAGCCAAGTACTGGTTGGCTTGTTTTACATGTAGTTCTCTAGTTCTGTTCTTTCTGGCCTAAAGATAAATAAAGAAGGGGCAAATGTGGTCTGAACCAGGGCTTCAAACTGGTTCTTCCCAGTTCAGTCATGGCCGATGAAGCGAAACTGAAATGGGCCCAAATTTATAAAATGTGAATGTACTGAAAAGATAAGCAGAACAGGAAAAATTATGGACTACACCCTGCTAGAAACTTAATCTCCCTCTTAGAAAACAAGAGCAGCTTGTGCATTGCTTAGCAACCAAATCTCCTGACCAGCAGTGGCCAAAACAGGAGTACATGGCTCAAAGATGGCCACAATCTCACTGCTTTGAATGTGTGTTGCTCTCCACAGTCCTGGCAGTAATCCAGTCTCCCACATCAGGCTCCTGAAAGGGCTTACTGTGCTGCTTCCAAGTCTACCAATCCAGGGCTTCAGTGACTTTAATTTTTCCCCTTCCAGTAATCATTCCAATACACTCACGTTTACGAGTTCAATTCTGTTCCAATATCACTGCATCGGCACGACTGAACTGGTTCACACCACTTTGAAGCCCTGGTCCAAACCATTCAGTCACCACTATTTTAGGGAATCGTACAATTTTATGTAACTCATTCTTTTATGAACTTCTGCTGTGGAAGAAGAGGGCAGTTGTGGTTCGGTGGTAGAATTCTCACCTTCCATGCAAGAGACCTGGGTTTCCTTCCAAGCCAGTGCACCTCATGTGCAGCTTCAGTGGAAACTATGTTGGTATAATGCTGGAGAGGTTTATACAGAGTGCTAAAGGGACAGGAGGCAGCATCTTCTGACCTTCGCTAATTCCGCAAGAATCAGCATCTGCAGCCCAATGCCTGCTCCTATAAAGCCAGACATGCCACTACCCTCTAGCTCTCTTACCTTGACACCAACTGTTCCTTCTGTGGCACCCACCAACTCTCTTCTGGGTTCAATAATTTGCTGCAGTGGCGACACAGAACTCACAGATTATGGAGTTTATTAGGGAAGCAACAGGCTATAGTTCAAGTTCAGGAATGCACTCACTCTCAGCCAGCTGTCTCTCAGCCGACAGTCTCAGTGTCTCTCAGTAGCACATCTCTCTCTCAGCAGGGCATGTCTCTCACATCTCTCTCTCAGTAGGATGTCTCTCTCATGTCTCCCAGCAGTGCATTTCTCTCAGCGGCAACTCTTTCTCAGCTGTCAGTCAGAGAGACTTTGTCTGCCTCTAGGAGGGCTCAATTTAAGCCTGGCAGAGTAGCAAAACTAACCAATTCCAACATTACAATTCTATACATCTGAGAGAGAGCAAACTTCCCAGAAGATTGCTTTATGTTGCTCCACCAGGTGGATAACTTTAACAATCAGCTACTCAGTTGCTCATGCAAAGTGGGAGTTATCAAAGACTATGACTAGAAAAGCCATACCATGTAATTTGCTATATCTCACAGAGCTTCCAGACTAAGATGGACTAGGAAGAAAGTCTTTATGATCTACTTTGAAAAATCAGCCAGTTAAAACCCTACGGATCACAAAGGTTTGATCCCATTGTGCACAGAGTCACCATGAGCTAAGGGCAAACTTGATGACTATAGGTAGCAACAACAACAATGTGAAAAAGATCGTAGGAAACTGTGAGAAAGAAATTTATAGTGAAACAGAGACCCATAAAAATGTTGCAATGCTGTATGGTAAGGACTGTAAGACAGGTGTCTATAACCTTCTTCAGGAGCACATGTTGCTGTTGTTGTTGTTATGTGCTGTGGAGTCAGACTCGACTCATAGCGACCCCTCTTTGGGTTTCTGAGGTGGTATCACTATGGAAGTAGATTGCCCAGCCTTCCTTCCAAGGAGTGTCTGGTTAGCAGTCAAGTGCCTTAGGCACTACACTTCCAGGGAGCACATATTAGAGTGTTACACATCCTGTCTAAGGAGTTGAGAAATACTTATCCAAGCAGTGACATTTGAGGTTCATCTGAGCATGGGGAATAAGGGGAAAGGTGTTCCAGATAGAAGGAAGCCTAGATAAAGGCCCAGTGGTATGATATTTCATTGCAGGTTTGTAGAGGATGAGAAGCTCAGGGTAACTGAGTTGTAAGAAATAAAAAATGTGACTGTGATATTGAGGATGCATGGGAAATCAGGTAAGGTTGGGGCTTGTATATGGTGCTCATGGGTCTGGCCTTGCACTTTGGGCTGTATGGAGTCCAAAGAGGTCAAAGTGAACAAGGGTTCAGTGAAGTAACAATTCCACTTCTGATAGCACACATCCCCTTGTCCTTTATCATTAGCAAAGTAGCTAGACTAAGAAGAAGGACATGACTCAAGTTGGTGGCACAAATATGAAGGCTTGAGCAGAATTGGAATAGGAAATATTTCAGAAGTAAAAAAGACAGTCCTTATAGATCAATGTCCGCCCTCCACGGAAGGAAGGTTGGGCAATCCTACTTCCGTAGTGATACTGCCTCGGAAACCCAAGGAGGGGTCGCTATGAGTCGGGGCCGACTCGACGGCACGTAACAACAACAACATAGATCAATGTAGGTCTTTTAATGAAAATCCCTTAAAATCACAAATAGATACCCAGTATTCTTTGCAGTAGATAGAAAGCTAAAAAGCTTCAGAAGGAAAAGGAAGGTAGGAATTTGAGGTAATCATTGAAAAGCCCTAGGTTTTCTGGCTAAAAAATAAGTGGGTTTAGGAGGGGCAGGCATAGCAAGCCAGCCAGTAAAGATAAATATCTCACATTCATGAGTTCTGTGTTTGTTTCAGTGCTCTGCAACCCAACTTGTATATGATGTGGATTGAGAGAGTCTTATAAAAATCAAAATATCTTATGAAATTTCAAAATGGAGACATATTTAGCCTTAAGAAGGCTATATCCCAAATGGTTGACTCTTGAAACATAATAGTGGCTGCCTTATGAAGATATAGACAACTCTTTTCCATCCTCAATTACAGCCATTCAAGGAGTTGGCTTAAGTTACCTCAGAGTGAGCTCCATAAAGACATTAGAATAATGAGTCACATCCATTTCTGGAGAAAGTGTTTAGTTTCTTCTTGAGGGGTGTGTTGGGGTGGGGGGTCTTTACAGCATGTTCAGGTGTTCCTGATGAGCTAGTGGTGGTTGCCTAAGGTTAAGATATGAATTGTAGGTCCCTCTAGTTCAGGCTCTCCTTTATATTATCTGCTTGACTGCTAATCAGAAGGCTGGCAGTTCAAACCCACCAGCCATTCTTTGAAAGGAAGTTTGGGCAATCTACTTCCGTAGCAATACCGCCTTGGAAACTCGAGGAGGGGTCACTATGAGTCTAATCGACTTGACAGAAGTGATTTTGTTTTAATTAATCTGCAACAGCTCCCCTCCCACTTCCTCCCCTTTGGCTGGAAGCCACAGGGTTCAATTCCAGACCTGAAGGGCAACTAGGAGCCATAGTTTCAGTGGTTCCATCAGGCTCTATCAGGCCATCAAACCTGGTCCTTTTTTTTTTTTTTTTAAATGATTTTGAGTTTTGTTCCACATTGTTCTCCACTCTATCCATCATCTCCTACAGAGATCCCCCTCCGAGTGGTTGACAGTGGTAGCCAGGCACTGAGTTTGGGTTCTTTTTAATAGAAAGTTGCAGTTGTAAGTAGAAATGGGACTTGATTCTTTGCTACTTAAAGAGTCATATACATTTGAAACATGAGTCATTTGGTCTCTTCCCAGGTAACAGGGACTTCGCTAGGATTAAGTAATTCAGCATTGGTTTTGAACTTTTCCCAATGTCTTCATTGTGCTTCATTTCATCTAGTTTCTTGCCTTCTTTGAACATTCTAGCCTAATGTTTCCAGAAACTGCTCTCTAAATCTATGGAGTAGACATTTAACACTATCATCAGAATTCATTTGGTAAAACTGGAAGCTACTTGAAAAAGCAGATACACTTTTAAAAATGTGCTTCAAGCCTATTTCCTCTCCATAACCCAGTGTATTAGTTTTAAAAAATTTGATCTTCCCTCTAGGAAGAAGACAGTTATTATCTTGACTTAATGCTTTATAGAGTAGATTTTTTTCAGTCATTGCTCTAATTGGCCTTGGGCTCCTTATCTGTAAAATGGGAGAGGGACATGGGCTAAATGACTCATAGAAGTGATTTACACAGTCAGCTAATGTTGATTAACTTCTGGTATGTACTAGGCACAAACCTAGTGTTTTAGGGATTCCAGAAATGAGAACAGAAAGAAGGGAAATAGAGGTATTGCTGGGCAACCCTGGGTTGCAGGGAGGTCTCCTTCATGCCACAAATTCTAGTATTCTAAATATGGCTAAAGGAGCTCTAGTAGCATAGTGCCTAAGGCACTTGACTGCTAACCAGGAGGCTGGCGGTTCAAACCCACCAGCCACTCCTCGGAAGGAAGGTTGGGCGATCCTACTTCTGTAGTGATAACTGCCTTGGAAACCCAAGGAGGGGTCTCTAGGAGTCGGGGCCGACTCGATGGCAAATAACAACAACAACAACAACAAATATGGCTAAAGAGGCCTGGTGGTGCAGTAGTTAAACTCTTACTGCTAACTGAAAAGCCGGTGATTTGATAGGAGAAAGATGTGGCAGTCTGCTTCCATAAAGATTCACAGCTTTAGAAACCTTCTGGGGAAGTTCTACTCTGTCATTATAAGTCAGAATTTATTTGATGACCATATACTGTATTTGGTTTTGTTTTTAAATGTGGCTATTAGTGCCAAAATATGTTTTTCATGATGATAGTAGTGGAGCATATAGTTAACACATTCCTGAAGCATATAGTTAACACATTTCTGAAGCATATAGTTAACACATTACTGAAGCCAAAGTTTCAGTTTTGGGTAAGAGCTGTGAAATTTTACTACTTTATAATATACAGTGTCATTAGCACACCAAAAATGATGTGGGGGTGGTGTCTGACCTGTAACTTCACAAGATGACAGGAGGATCCAGAACAACA